TTCTCATTTTGTCTCTCATAGTTGAGGTATATCTATGATGAAAATTACCGGCCTCTCTCATCTTTTGAGTGGGAGAACTTGCACAATTGGTGGCTGACTAAATACTTTTTTGCCCCACTGTATTCACTAATGTATCCATTGGTATGTATGTTCACCTTTAAACAGGGTCACTGAACTTACAAGGAAGCCATCCGGGCTTTCAGGGCAGTGAGTGTAAGGGAAGGTACTTGTAGATGTATGTTTACCATTATGATGGACACGTTTCCCTTTAAAAGCACAAAGAGGTGATCCAAACTTGTGTGAAGACACATACACACTGCTGTTTAGCCACAATTACATCTAAAACATTTGGCTCTGGATTAAAATTTTTATAGATAAAGGTTTTTATCTAAGGTTTGCATTTTTAGAAGTTCTTGGATCATACCAATAGTGACCCAATGATGTCTGTTTCTAATGTGGTTCTGCCTCAGGTCTTGAAGATGAGTCAGCATGTTTTTGGCCTGCTGCCATTTTTAACTTGATAGTTTAGATGTTAGCTGTTCTGCCAGGTGTTAGTAGATTACAGAGTGTTTCCACCCATTAGGTAATTGTTTTCCAAGTGTTAAAGCCTCTATCCATTTTTTTCTAAAGGTGAGGTCAGCATCAGTGTCTCTTAATGTGTTTATGCTCTTTTTTACATTTGGTTTGGTGTTATAGTAGTTTTAATATTCAAGCTATTTTGAGCATTTTAGTCAAATCTAATTTAGGATCAGTTTCTTTTTTTCAGACAGATAAGATCACAGTAATCTAATCTGTTTATCGTCTGTTTCAGATGCAGGAGTTGGAACAGAGGGTGACAGAAGCCGACCAGAGGGCTGAGAAAGCTGAGAAACAGGTAAAGGGTCAAATGTGACTTATTTTCACCACACATAGAAATTAATGATAGTATTATTTACTTCCTACTACTAAACATAAGAAGTCGATGGTTATCTAGAGTGTTTTCATGGGTTGTTCCAACATGGTGGAATGACCTACCAAGCACTGCAAAGACAGCAGCATCCCTTTATATCCTTCAGGAAACTCTTAAAGACCAACCTCTTCAAAGAGCATCTCCTTTCCTAACTCTTACCCATACCTCTGTACCCCTCCATGACTCTTTCTGTACCTCTCTCTTTGCTGTCACCACTGATTCTGACTACGGACTTTTTGTCTCGAGAACTTATTGTCATTTTGATGATAACTGTAAAATAGTGTAAAAGTTGCTTTGGATAAAAACGTCTGCTAAATGCATAAACATATTATGATATACCTGAGGATATATATTGGTATTAAGGATTTTACATTTATGAAGGTACTAAAATTACAACCTTTTTGTTTGTTTCATAGTTTGAAAATGTTTCATTCAATAAGTCATCAGTTTACCCTGGAACTGGGGAATTAGAGTAGCTACCATCAACTCAGCTCAGGTTGAGTTCTACACATTATTAAGCTGGAACTGCTTCCATCAAATCTGTTCGAGGAAAGGATGAACTTCAGAAGAAGCTGTCAAACTCATTAGGCCAAGATAAAACAATGGAGTTTGGGTTTAGCCAATCCCGATAACAAGTAAACTAGCTGCAACTTACTTTTCTTCTTTCACAGATGAAATCGTGAATCAGACCGAACAGATGTGAAAGTAGCAGAAATGCATACGTCCTCCTGTCCTGCATGTCCATTTTAGTTTGGCAGCTGTTGCTTTCGTCACAGCTATGCATGTCCCTCCTTAAATCGTAATACTGCAACGTGATTGGCTGACCCATTTTTAGTGGGTCTCGAAAGGCTTAAGCAAAAGGACATACCTGAGTTTTAAAAGACACATCACAATACCATGAGAATTCAGCTTGCAGTCAAAGTCACTCATTTTCTCCACAGTTTGAATATGGCCACTGCAGGAACTATTACAACCATAACTATAAAACAAAAGACTGCTTTAGAGTAACATACATAATAAAGTAAAGTAAAAATGTTTAGCTATTGTTGATGCGGGTAGTAGCTAGCTTGAATGCTCCATTAAGATATTATTGTTTTACCCCAACTTCCCAACTCAGACTACTGATAAATTTTATAATTTCTTTGTCTACCACATTGAAAATCAACAAAATCACATCCAGTTTATACAAGTAATTGTTCTGAAACTCAAATCCTATTGAATTCAGTTTGATTCATGTTGTACATTTGCAGCCTACAAAGAAGCTTGCAGCGCATTATTTCTCACAAAGTTAGTGGCAGCAATAAATCTGTAGTCATCTTATGAAACTGATAAACTGACTATCAATGTAAAAACGAAGATAGTTTCCAAAGCTAATAGCAGCAAATGCTCAATCTGAAAAGAGACAAAACTAAACACACATCCAGGAGAATTTTCTGCAACGAAATATAAAGTACATAAGATTAATGGCAAAAGCTTTAATTAAAGGCCTGGTGAGAGACACAGTTAAACACAAGAGCGCTTTAAATTCTAAAAGAAAAGAGGACAAGAAGCTAGTAGCAACAAAAAAGACACAGTTGAACACAGAAATTCTAAGTTGGGACCTTCTAAGACAAAGAAATGCTGAGTACTCATTTTAAAAAGGCAGGAATACCTTTATATGAGAATGGGCAAAGAAAGATAGAAGCATTATCAAGAGGAATTATCAACAGTCCAAAATGTAAGAAAATCCACAAGAGTACACAAAGTCAAGGCAGTAGTAACTGTATCATCTTTATCCAGATAGTGCGGAAATTAAGAAAGTTAAAAACAGCAAAGTGAAGAAAACAAGTCAGGATACTGTCCAAATTTATAGGAATAAGCTAAGGGTTCATTGTTTTAGAGATTTAAATTTAAAATATTAAAACTGTACTTGTTAATCCAGCAGTAAGAAGGGAATTCAGATTTTTAAATGTAATGTACTTTAATATGAATTCAAAATTTTTAGGGATGCACGA